ATATAATAGATGTATTTAAGATTATTGATTTTGGTAGGTATACGCAAATTATCTTGTTATAAGTGTTACTATTTACCTCGACCATTTTAATGAAAGAAAAAATTAGTAAATRTTTGTAATTTGATTACTTGATAAATCTCGAGTGTTTGTTTGTGAATATCTTAAACACGTCTTATTTAGAAAGATTTACCATGAAGGATGTATGTGGGTTTTTTACGATAGTTCAATTTCGTAGCATGTTTTGCGAATTATTATGCCTATAGTAAAAATTAAAAGTGCTGATAACATACTTAAAAACTGAATTATTGTAAAAAAATCTTTACAAAAACACAGATAATGTTTTTTACCGTCAAATTTCATGAGAGGTCTAGGTATTTATTCTGATTATAATACTAATGAAGCTACACACATGATCTACCTAGCTTATTAGGTATGTTACGCACCAGCGTTACGTCATCTTAAAATTAAAATCGAAAAATATTTTATAAAATTTTATCTTGTATAATATTTAATTTTAATATTTTACATGACTTATTAAATTAAAAAGATTCAATCGTTCAGTGGATTGTATCATCGTGGAACAGAAAATAAAGTAGAAGTGAGCCCAGGAATAAAACTGGGATGGATCAAAGGCGTGACAATTCCATGTCTTCTAAGTACCTGGAGCGTGATGATTTTCTATAAGATGCCGTGGACTTTAGGACAAGCTGGAATATTGATTTCAATCATTATTATTTTTCTTTCAATGCTTATCATTCTATTCACAAATTTTTCATTGTCTGTGATCAGCACAAATGGAAAAATAAAAGGAGGTATTATCCAATAACAATTAAAAGTATCATAAATCTAATTAATATTATCATGATATTCCTATATACAAAAGAGAAAATGTGAACAAATAATTTAAAATAACTAGGTAACTCAAGTTTAGTTAAGTTAAGAGAATTCATGATCGATAAGGTTAAAGTTTATTGATAACAAAATATAAATTTAACTTGATAAGTTAAAAGTTAATATCGAATAAAGTATTGACTAATATCAGTTTAAAAAAGTTAATCTTTTTTTTTAATTAGTAAGTAAATCACATAAAGAGTGACTGTGCTTATCTGATCTAATAAAATATATCAATATATTTGGGTGTTAGGTACCTACACTATCTACTATAGTATTATATTATTTTTATTTTATATTAATATTTACGTAGTATAAACGTTTCACGATGAGGTATAGACGATGGCAAGGTGTTTGAAATTTTAGAATGTTCGCGGGTAACGCTTCCTAACGCAGGATGTTCCGTGAAGATTTACCCATATGCGATTGATGTTATATGTTATTTTTTTACTTTGACAATAAAGTTAGTTAATACATTTTTGCTAGAGTTTTCTATTATTAACCCACAAATGAAAAATTTCAAAATATTTTTAACTTAAATCAACTGAGAAATGTGTTAAGTTATTTCAACTTTCAAGAGTCAATAAAACTAGTTAAGAGGACGCCACACCCGCATGTGTTGTCTTCGTCGTACAAGTGCGTAGCATAGCAAATTTTACGCTCAGCAGGTCACGTTTATCTCCGTTATTTTAAAATTTAGAGTGAATTTACCTATTATAAAAATTAAAGGCAAGATTATTACCGAGTGCATCTCATAGGCTTTTTATTATATTTTAATTTTAAGCCGAGTTATGAGTATT